CAATATTTGTGAATTTTGATACCTTTCGCTTCGGTTTATTCGTTTGAATTTTTAATTTGTTATAAAATATTTTTATCATGTAGAATAATTACATATTTTGTGTTGGGTTGGGTTTTTACTTAAAAATATCGCCAACCCGACCCAACCCAATTAAAAACAAACCGTAGGGTTTAGATTTTTTTGGGTGGGTTTGGGTTTAATATTTCCCAAACCGTAGTGCATGGGTCGGGTGATTAAAATGCCTAAACCCGGACCACCCGACCCATGTACACCCCTAAATAACTCCCTCCTGACAAAGGAACTCTTCTGTTCCAATCCTCGGTCGTTTCTTTCTGATCCCCGGGTGGGGATTTGGCCCTTTCTGGCCGGGGGTCCCTCTCTGCATCATCCCCAGTCTGAGCTGCTAATCCCCGGTCGGGGAATTGGTATTTGTGGCTGGCCATTTTGTGCTATCCAGCCCTCCTTGCTTCCACGAGGTGTGCTCATCTTTAAACTTCGATGAGAATCACTTTGGTCACTCTTGAGGCTTGCATCAGTGGTGATCTGGAATATCTTATATTTTTCATCCTCGTAAAAGAATGAGATGGTGCTTTTGCGAGAGTCTCAGTCTGAATCGGTGAATTTGCACCTAATACATCTTTTCAGTGAGTTCAATAGTTTAACCATCTAGATTACGACATGGTTAGCAAAATATATTGTGTTGATTTGGTGAAATTTTCAATTTACTTCTATATTTTTATAAAGGGTTACAAATTGCATCATGATAATGAGATTAACTTTTCTTGCTATGTTTTTATTTTTATTTTTTATGTCAACCTGTATTGAGCTTTATTAATCAGAAACTGCTGTCACATCGTCCAGCCGTAGCTGATCAATCACAATCATCGGTGGCCTATCTAGCCATACTACTGGTGAGTTCAAGTTTGTATTACATTTGATCATTAGATGCGTCGCTTCATTCGCTGTCCTTTTAACAAAGCGGATCGCCTCTTCTAATCTCATCCCAAGGGCCCTCTTGATACTCATACATATTGATACTCATGCTATGTTCAAACTGGTGGTAACGTACATTTTAACCTGAGTTGTGCTAATTTTTTCCTGCAGTATCGCTAATTCAATTGCTTGAAGATAGTTAATTTAAAATACAAAAAAAAAATCGTTGTTTTCCAGTTTAACGGTATATTTGTTTGGTTGCCAAAGGTGAATAAGTACTGTTGATACTTCTTCGTAAATACGTACACTGGAGTATGGTGTGAAAAACGAATTGTATTAGACTATTAGAGTCATTATGTAATGCTTTTTTATGTTCTGATTTGCTATTAGGACTTTTAAGTTTACTGTATATGAGCCATAAGGGGTAATAATATAATCTTTTACCGGTTTGATGAATGAAATCACGACTTCCTTTTTACACCAGCAAACGGGAAGGGTGGATCACAGCTAGCTAGTGCATTATTTTTTTACTCTTGCTTCCTTCTGTAAAACTTGGAGGAAGAACAATAAACAAAGACCTGCACAATACATCAAATATATATTTGATGGAGATTGGAGTGTAGAGAGAACGTTGGCTATTTGTTATTATTATTTTACATTATGCTAACTAAATGAGTAAGTGAAAGTTTTTATTGGTAAGGAAAATGATTTGTCATGATCAATTAATTATTAACATAAGAGATGCTTTAGAAAAGAAGTCTTCCCGTTTGAGAGTCGTCTCTATTTTAAAAAATTTATTCTTTCTCTCTTCTCACTTTTTGTGTCAGTCTCGTGTCATTTTGCTCTTTGAAACTTTCATAGAGCTGACCACCTCATGGCATAACATGCTCTTTTATCGGGAGTTCGGTTGCATGGACTACTGTTCTTTATTATTGTCACTTTCATATTGTTGTTGTCCGACCATTCCCTGTGTGAGCTTATCTTGGATAAATTTTTTTTTATTAACTAACTATTTCGCAATTTCCTATAGAGAACTCTAATAAACTATTAAAAAGGGAAAAATTAGTTAGTTCCCATTTTCACCTGCGTTAAATTACTTTCTGTGGATCTAAAATCTTTGTTTTAAGTGTAGCGTGAATGACGGGTGTATTATTATCTTTATATTCATGACCGGTGACCCGCCATCTCTATTTTATCATTTCCGTTCATTTTCCGCTCATATTGACAATCTTATGCATGTCTCGATCCTATGGATTCCTTTCATCGAACTTTTTTTTGGTAGGGGTGACAATACGGTTGTGGTTTTGCAGTTAAATCGTTCATCACCGTACGGTTTGTTGTCAATCACATACGGAATAAGAAGGCTCTATTGTGGTTGCGGTCAGTGATATTAGTTGTTTTTGCAGTAGCAGTTATACAACCGAACAAGAACTAACCATGCAATTTGTAATTAATCTCAAAGTGAATAAGAACTTCGAAGGTCTTTCCAGATTCCTCTTGCATGTTGTCGTCTTCGAAATTCACTCTTCAAAACACAAGGTATCTCGGCGAAACACCATCGAATATGGGACACACACCGCCTCCATAGCCATCGGTCGTAGCTAGCATGGCAACACCTTCAATCCTAGACCTTGTTACGGTAAAAATGGTTTGCATTGCGGTTAACTGAACTTTGCGGTTAACTGCTAATTGTTTGTGATGCGGATGCGGTTAGCATATATGACTATTTTGGTTGATGTTAACCACAAATTTCGGTGCGATTAACCGCAACCGCACTTATTGCCAACCCTATTATTTTGTTGTATTTAAGTATGACATTATATTAGGTTTCTTCGAACTCAAATTCAATTCAGAGGATCTATAGGTAAAAAAAAATCAACAGAATATATATCTATTTGTTTTTCTACATAATCTATTTAGTTATAGAGGAGCAAATTCAAGTTCAACCCAGTCTATTGGGTTTAATATTTGTTACATGAGTATTTGTGGGTGCATGGGTAACCATGAATACAAAAACATAATCATGACTTATATCCTTCAAACACTAATATTTTTATATTATCGAAATGTTCCCTACAACTGCATGTAATAAAGATTGTAATATATCAAATTAATGAATTATCCATGCATCATACTAATTATTTTTTTATAAGGGGAACATAGCTTGATTTTTACCATTTTGTGTAATTTAAAATATTCAAACCTTGGACCTCCAGATTAAAGACTAGTGATAGTACCACTACACTAAGTCCTTGTTTACCACAATTAAACTTTGTAATAAATTATAAAACACTAAAATAATGTCGACTTGAAAATTTAGAGTACAAAGCAACTTTTGTCTTTGAGTGTGAGTCGTATGAAAAAGGTTGGAATTTAGCCAAACCCTCATCTGAACCATCCCACTAATTTCAAAATTGAATTTTGTCGTTACCCGACCCAAAACCTATTCACCGGCGAATCTAGGGGCCATCCCTGGGCCGCTGCCCAACCCTACTTTGGATCCAGAGCTAGTAACGTACTCGTTGGATTACAGTTCAGTTCTCTCCGCCTCTTTTCAAATGTGGCACAATGCTCTAACATATCTTGAATCCTACTTTAAACCTATTGGCATATGGTTTTATGCTGAATGACCAAATCTGGTCATGCTGCAGATTTGGGCTCAATTATCATTCCTAGTAGCATGTAGCTTTGAAATGGTGTATATCTCCCCCTCACATTAGAAAAAGAAACCGTTAGCAGCGAGCTTTGTGTAGGCGACTATATGTATAGCTACCCTGGAAATAGGTGTCAATGATGAGCTAAAAAGGTACCCAGGAGAGGATTATGGAGTATAATTAGCCTCCTAAAGGTGGTTTCTAGTACAAGATTTAATTAGAAAGTGGGATTTAGATGCAATTAGATCCCACTTCCAAAAGGGAGGAAAAGAAAAGGCAAAAGAAGAAAGAGGGCAAAGCGGAATGTTGAAATTGGGGGACAAAATCTTTTGATTTAGGCCCGTAATGTCTTTGTTCATCTTCCCTTTGCCTTTGGGTAGTTAGGATCGATTGGACCGTAGCGTGTTTCAACTTATAAAGAAGGGGGAAAAAGAGTTAAATCGAAAACAGGAAAAAAGGAAAAGAAGAAAAAAACAAAGATAACGCATATGGAATCTCCAAAATCTTCTAATAAAGAAAACAAAATTTAGCAGGTAATCAACATTCCATAAAACTTGGTTACAACCAGGTTAAGCGAATTCGAGAAAAAAAATCTCGATTTTTATTAATATCAACAAATTCATAGAAGTAGTGAAGAGTTAAGACGTGTAGTCGTGCACATAGTCCTGTCAAGAAAATAACAAAGAAATTATAATTACCAAAATTTGAAATTAGGACCTCCCGAATCCAAACTTATGCTTTTGCCGCCATCTTTGGCTCTCCGCTACTCTTGGTGTGTTACCTTTTTATCTAACATAGACCTCTCAAGTTTCAGAGCCTTTGTGACCAACATGTTTTTTATTTGAATCTCGATGACTTTCATTGGTAAGTACATGGTGTCGTCTGATTCCTATGTGTGGAAACTTAAAACCCATATGAGTGACTTTTGTTCGAAGGAACGTGCTAGCTCTAGTATGTGGTACAAGATCCATTATCAAACTTCTACCAACAATTCAAGTTATAGAGACGTCCATTGACTGTCGAGTAACGAATCAAGTAAGATTTCCAGAAGTTCCTCAGAGCAATGCAAAGCATATGCCCAATTCTCCATTAGGAAGGATGTATATATGGTCCAGCGACAGATTGTATATACCGTAGAGATGGAGCCAGAAGGGTTTTGGTCCAAACCCTTTCTTCTTCTCAGTTCTCACCAACCAAACGGATGGCACTCTAGTTAGTTGGAGCCTTCCACGATAACGTTGGGCACCACACACAAAGAAAGATGATCAGGATCCAATGGGCTGGCTGGGGCCATAATGGACGTCGGTTGGGCCTGCTACTGCTGCAACCTGCCAACCTCCATTACACGTCCACGTCGAACGTCGTTCCCTCAGCAGGTAAATGCCAAACTTGGAAGCCGTCCTTGCCTTCAATAATAAATCTTAGTTGGTAGCTAAACATTCGTTCGTACGCATGCATATACACTGCAAACAACATTTCATTTGAACTCGTTCAATCATAAATCATTCACGTGCGGAACTTAACTTAACTTATTGATCTCCGCTTCTGTTCTTCTTCCTTTACAGAATCAGTGAGCATATAGAAGAACAATTAGTGTCCAGTAATACAACCAACAATTTGAGTTATCGAGATGATCATATAATCCATTTCCAAAATAACTAACTACGTCCTAAAAAACTGTGGGTCCCCCTTTTGTTTTCTTCTGGAAATAACTTGGTCCAATTTTGCTGTGTACAACTACAAACATGTTCCAAATGGACCCATGCACTTATTGATCAGTACATTTTCCCTCCCCCCTAAATTATATATGATTGATGACAGAGGAGAGGCCATGTATATAAAATTGATCACAGAGGAGAGGCCAGTTGGGCTTTAGGCCATAATATACATAGTCACAGGTTTCGCAAGGAGCTGGTGGGTTGGGAGCAGTGGGAGCTGGGACTGCAAATCCCTTCACCACCTCAAATGTCGCTGTTTTCCAAGTCTCCTTAAGATTTGATTCAGAAAGAGAAAGGGACGATATTGGGAGGGAGAGATCCCCTGGCGTTTTTAGGACCATTCTCATCACTACCCTTACACAACACAGCCTTGTGTTATATAAGCCCTCTGGAAAAAAAGGATAACGAAACAACAAGCGAGAAATTAAAGAGCCATAACACCCCGCTAACTATCATGAAGTAAGGGTTGGTTTGGAAGTTGAGATTCTTCAAATATGTGTATTTGATGAATGTACATGTACTAAAAATATTAAGATTATACGAATTAGATGATTGGACGAATGTCTTGTTTGTATGTAGCAATTCAAAAATATTAAGGAAAAGAAAAAAATCACTTTATGAGCTAAAAGTGAAACAAATTAAAGCCCACAATCTCAAAGGAAGAATCTCACCTTTTTGTTGAGATTTAAAATGAGTGATTTTGGGTGATATGAGATTTGAGAGCCCACCTCATATGCATGTATTAAATAAAATTTTTGAAACAAAAAACGATTAATTTTTTTAGAATACATAAATTCAAATAATCATTTATATAAAATCATAACTTCCAAACAACCTAAGTTACAAACTTGAAATTATTTAGCACCGTTGTTGGTACATGATAATGGGCTTGACTTCTGAGTGTAGTTGATAGGGATGTCAATCCAACCTGTAACCATGGGTACCCTACCCAATCGTAACCGGTCAACGAGGGTAATTACCCGCTTTGACGGGTTAAGGGGCGGGTACGGACAATATCCGGTTTCAAAATAAATGGTAGAGTACGGGTATGGTAATCGATAATACCCGCCCCGCTAACCAAAGGGTCAATTTCCCTTGAGAAATTTATTTTAGCTTGAGAAATTGAGTTTAGCTATCATTATTGATGATGAAGATGTAGACGATTATTATGTTTGTGTGGATTGCAGAAGCAAGAACAATTATTATGTGTTTGCTGTTTTTATTTGTGTGGATTGTTGAAGTTAGAACAGTTACAATTATTGAGAATTTTTAATGGACAACAGCATGTATATGCATATATGTGTATAAGTTCATAGTTTAGGATTCGTACCCATGGTTACCCGAATACCCGTGGTTACCCGGTGGGTAGGGTATGGTTATATAATTTTCATACCTGGTGGTTATTTGGTCGGGTATTTTAAAAAGCTCTACCCAACGAGTTAGGAGTTGGTATAGGGAAAACCCGCACTCGACCCTTCCCATTGCGATCACCCCTACTTCCCTAGTAGTTGATGAGATTCGGCGGACCTCAAAAAATAAGCCCAAAGACCGAAACTAAAACTAATATTGGCTACCGTGGGTCTACCAGCCCTATTACACGGACCTGAAAGAGAGGCCTAAGCCCAATTAATGAAACGAGCTAACTCCTCAATTTCTCAGTCCTTCACTGGTGGATCGCCCACTACATTAGGGATGGACATCCAATTCGGTAAACCCAAATTGAACCAATCCAAAATCGTTCAAAATCAACCCAAAACTAAATTAAAGTTATTGGTTTTGAAATTTGGAAAGAAAATGTGGTTAGTTCGACCAGAGTCTTATCGACCGAATCGAGATTTCGATTACCGAACCAAACAACCAAAAATTATCCAGCCCACATATCTGACCTCACCCTCACTCCTCAACGTACCTAACCTCGGGCCTTGGCCCAAACCTTTCCCCCTCACCCCTCAGATCATGGCGCGGGACGACGAAGTAAGTTTGAGTTGATTTGGCCGTTGGTGGTGGAATTAGGGGAAGCGAAATATTGAGATTGGTGGCTGTGGTGTTTAGGGAAGTGAGCTGGCAATGCACCAATGGAAGCAACGAGAAAGAAGAGGAGAAGAAGAAATAATGGTTCCTCCCATAGTGCTCGGAATTGAAGAAGTGAGTTTAGGAGTCGTTTGGAGAATATGAGTTTAAATTTACAGATTGTCAACAATCTAAATATTCTAATTTTTCGGATTGTTGACAACAGATTTTAAAATGTTTATTGTTTGGCAACTGTGATTGTTAACATTAAAGTACAATAAAAAAATTAATTTTATATTAAATACCATGTTTATCCTTAATAAAAAATTAGAGTGGTTCGAGAAATATTAAAAACTTTGTTGATAAATATATTTCATGTGATAAATAAATAAAAGGAAGAGAAAAATTAGGAGAGAAAAAATCTCACGAATCAAGATATAGAATCTCTTTGATTATGAGAGATTTGATATCCGCAGATTTTAGAGATTTGAATCTCTAAAGCTAGAATCCACAATACAAAAAGCAACAAAAAAAAACATAACTTTCTACAAAATCTACGGATTCAGTGAATCCATGTCCCGAATCATGTTCTCCAAACGACCCCTTAGAGTGAGAGATGGGTTATGGGGATCGAGGGGAAGAAGAAGGGGAATTTTGTGAGATTTGCATTAAGAGGAACAAGAGGTCTCGATTTTATCGGGTTTTCGATTCTAAACCGATAATATTTCGGTTCGAAATCGGTTTGAACTTTGAAGGCAATCAAAGTATCGGTATGTTGTAGTTCGTTTAGGTTTGAACCAAACCAAAGCTCATCCCTATATTACAGAACAGAATTGTAAGCTTTTTGGATGCACCAATGATTTATTTGCTCTCATGTAGAACTTCTGGTTTTGATATGACAATCCCCGTTACTCATCTTAGCTACATGATCACTAGTCCAGACAATGAGTTGCTGATATATGGTTACCCAATCCTCGGGCTCTGAAGAGTGGTGTTTCGGCGATGAGTATTAATTTATAGATCATCATTGCACGGTCATTAACTCATTATCATGGAGCTTAAGGTCGAGATGCGGGTAACTGTGATGATCAAAAGAAATTAGTGTTCACAAACATTCAATATGATGTTGATGTCAGTGATAATGATGATCGCGCTAATGCTCACAACGTTTTATGTAGACGCGGATGGTAATGTTGTGTTGAATTGAGGTTACAAATTATTGGCCTACAAGTTTCAAGATCTACGTACTTAGCGAAGATATATAGTGTCAATGAGGTACAGCTGAAAGATGGTTCTGATATGGGCATTTGTCACCTTAGCTATATATGATACAATTGGATAGATTTGGGTTTGCTTTTGCATGGCCTTCGGTGGGAAGTTGGTTCCGGAACTTGTATTGATGCCCTTCATGATCCTTGGGTTCCCTCGCTTCCTGGTTTCCGCCCGACTTTGTGTCCTTCGGCCAGCTCGGACCCTCAATTTGTGTCTTCCTTCATTTCGTCCGCCACTTCATCTTGGGATGTTCAGCGACTTTGTCAATTCTTTGATGCCTCTTCGGTGCAAGCCATCCTTGCTATTCCTCTTCCTAAGTCTCCCCTTGTGGATCGGTATATTTGGCATTTTGATTCTCGTGGGGCTTTTTCGGTAAAGTCGGCCTATCATCTCTGCCATCGCTTGCAGTCTTCCTCTCCCCCGCTCGTTGATCATCAGGTTGCCTCGGTTTCTACGCTTGACCCGGGCTTATGGCCCAAGCTCTGGTCTTTACCTATTATGCCGAAGTTGAAATTTTTCCTCTGGCGCATTTTGTTACGAATTCTACCGGTTCGTGAGGATCTGGAAAAGCATGGCATGGATATTCACAATATTTGCCCCATTTGTGAATCTGATGAGGGGGAGTCTTTGGAACATCTGTTTATCCGCTGTCCGGTGGCTATCCAATTGCGAGACGCAGTGGGTCTCTCTCTACCCCCTGGCTACGATGCCACTTTTCATTTTGCCCTTTTTTGGCGCTTGCTTATCCTACATGGCCACCCTGATGATATTACAAATTGGATTTTGCTTTGCTGGCGCCTTTGGAAGGGGCGAAACAATGTGGTTTTCTCCCCCTTTGCCCAATTCACCATCCCTGTTCTCCGCCGCCAATTCCTCCATCATCAAGTTTCTAACAATGTTGCGGTGGAGGATGTGCTCGCCCCACCACGGATATTTGCTCCTCCAACTCGCCCCCACTTTGAAGAAGTCCTCCGCACTCACCAAGGTTTTCGAATTGCTGTGGATGGTGCGACGAAGGCTCCCACGGCCGGTGCCATTGGCTTGGTTGGCTTTCACGGTGGTTCCCCTTTGTTTGCTGGTGGTGCTTTCATCTCGGGCATCTCTGATCCTGGGTTGATTGAGTTACTAGCATTTCGCGAGGCGTTATTCTTGATCCATCGGTGGCAATGGTTTGATCGAGATGTGCTATTAACAGGCGATGCCAAGGCGGTTGTGGACAAATTGTATTCGGGTGATTCTAATGATGTTCGCGGTGGGGCCATTCTTAGGGAGGTTCAAGAGTTGCTGCTCCAGTTACCAAAAGTCTCTTTACTTTTCACACCTCGAGAAGCGAATCGGGCTGCCCATTGTGTGGCACAACAAGCTTTACGCTATCCTGGTTTTCGGTGTTCGTTGCTTAATTTCTCCTATTTGGTTTGTCTTTGAGTCGATGGGTGAGAGTGCTGATTATGTAGCCTCCCCTATCCTTAACGATTGAAATCCGGCAGGATTTTATTGGAAAAAAAAAAAAAATTGGATAGATTTGGGTTCACTTGCTAGGATTTCTCTCAATTACTCGCAAACCAAAAAACGAAAAAGAGAATTAAATGGACAAAAAAATAATGTTAAAAACTAAAGAAAAGAAGAACGAGACGGCCACGTGTAATAACCTGAACCATTCATTCACTTCTTATTCCTCCTGGAGAACACCATCCCGCGGATCCCATCCGGGTCGGCAACGAACCCCAGCGGGCGGTAAAACCCGAGAACCCGGGGCTCCGAATACAGCGCAATGTTCACAATCCCTTGCTCCAAAATCTCATCCACCAGCCTCTCGATCACCGCCTTCCCCAACCCGATCCCCTGAAACGACGGGTCGACCACCACGTCCCAGATTATGGCGTTGAACACCCCGTCGCCGGTGGCCCGGGCGAAGGCGACGGGCCACCCGCTCCGCTTGTCCTGCACCCACAGCAGGGAGCTGGTGTGGTCCAGCGCCACCTTGATCCGATCCGGGTCCCGCCTCGGGAACCCGACCCGGACGAACACGGCGTTCAGCTGGTCCAGGTCGAGGTCGGCGGCGGTTCGCCGGAGGAGGAAGCCGCGGGACTCGAGGTCCTCGTTGGAGATTGCGTATTTGGCTTTTACGGAGAGGGAATTGATGGTAGTCGTCCGGCGAGGGGTTCGGGAGGAGTGAGTGGCGGCGGTAAGGCGAACATTCGCGGCGGTGGCGGAGGAGGAGACGGCGGCGCTACGGAGGAGCATCATCGGCTGTGGAAGAAATGGGAGAAGGATTGGCGGAGGATGTGGAGAAGATGAGAAATTTGGGGATAGAATTAGAGCTGTTGATAGGTTGTGAGCGCGTGGGCTTTTCCCGGTTTTGATCCACGAAGATGTTTATTGGGCCCCCAGTTTTGTTTGGTGCTGGCAGCTCCACGTTAGTTCTGGCTAGAAGATGTGTTACCTCAATGTTCAATCTTCCATCTAATTGTAACCTTTCTGTAAATTTGGTGTTAATCCCTTTAAAGCACATAAGAAACGACCAAAATGTCCTCCAATTTAATCGAGGTGAAACCCTTTTAGAAAAAATGGTTGGTTACAGTAGAGTTTCAAAATGATGCAGCTTTTTTGGGACGTTTTAGCTGTGACAGGAAAGATGAGTCGTCTCAGTTTGTTCTTCAGTCTCTAGTTATTGACGAAAATTCAACCAGTGCTCGACAATGAGATGCATAAAATGAAAAGAGGATTAGGTCACGATTTGATGAAATATAGGGAATTTGTATTCATCTTAGGAGAAAGGCTTTCACGTTAGTGAAGCTAAACACAGTTCAATTTGGTAGATTTTTTCTTTGAATTATTTTGGTCAGTTTCATGCACGTTAACGAGTATTTAACAACAAAATGACGGAAAATGGTATGATTAATAATAAGTTCGAAGTTTAGGTAGCTATTCGGATAAATTGCAAGTTTGGTCACTGGAATTACTAAAAAAGTTTACATTTGCCACTGAAATTAAATTATTTCATCCATGGTCACTAAGATTAGTTCAACAGTTCAAGTTTGGTCACTCTCCGTTAGTCTCTGTTAACTGTATCTGATGTGGCGGTCAACTCTTACAGTTGACCGTTAAATAAATGAAGTGGTAATTAAAAATAAGAAAATATTTTTTTTAATAATTCCACCTCATTATCATAATAAATTAGAAAATAAAACAAAAATTATAATTATAATTTTTCAGAGCAGCCATGGGAGCTTGTCCTCTTCGTCGTCATCAGTCATGGTATCCTCTGTCGGAAACTACCTCCAGGCTCCAAGCCCGTCGTTGGCAGCAGAGAGTATGACGACAAAGGCGGTGGGGGTCACCACGAGTCCTTCCGAGTCTTCAATCATTTGCCCCCTCCGGTGTCTCGGAACTCTCTTCGGCCAGCTTCAAGCGCGACTTCGACCGCCAGAAGAGGAGTTTCACCCACCACAGAGTCAATAGCTGCCGCCGTGCTCTCACTTCCATCGCCGGTATCGTCGGGTGGGTTCTTCCCGACTGCGGATACGACTACTGCATCTGCAATTCTGCATGCCCACAATATATAACTAACTCGATCCATTATTTAACTTATTTTAATGCATGTGTATAGCTATAGCATCTTTACTTTGCAAGTTTACATTTTGTTACTGTCTGGTTCCAGCAGTATTTGATTAATTAATTAGATTAGTTCAACTGAAACAATAACAAATGAAGATCTGAAGCTTAGTTGGTGGAGGAAATTGCTACAAACATGCTGTTGAAGATTCAAGAACTCAACTGCAGGGACAAAAATCCAAAAGAAATAAAACAGAGGAAACCGCAAGAGAACAGAGTGTTATGGAAGGAGGAATACTGCAGTTTTGAACTCAACCCCTCAACCATAAGTTAGTACCAGCTTCATGATGGCGGAGAAAATCTCCATGGCGCCGATGCGGAGAAGGTTGCGCCAGTGGTCACCGTAGGGGGCTCGGGTCATGGTGGTGCGGTGAATTGGGGTTTCAAGAGGCTGACGTGGTCGATGAATGGGAACACAGATGGCAGGCTTGGAGGCAGTTTCCGGCGTAGGCTACCATGGCTGATATCGACGCAGAGGACGAGCTTCCATTGCCCTTCCTAAAAATTATAATTATTTTTGTTTTATTTTTTTCAATTTATTATGATGATGAGGTGGAATTATTAAAAGATTTTTTTTATATTTTTTAATTGCCACGTCATTTATTTAACGGTCAACTGTCAGAGTTGACCGCCACGTCAGATAAAATTAACGGAGACTAACGGAGAGTGACCAAACTTGAACTGTTGAACTAATCTTAGTGAGCATGAATGGAATAAATTAATTTCAGTGGCAAACGAGTGAAATTTTTTAGTGATTCCAGTGACCAAACTTGCAATTTACCCTAGCTATTCAGAAGAAGAAAATAAAGTTGAGCAGCTTTGTAACATCCCGACATTTGAGTTCAGGTTTAACCACATTAAATGAACGGTTAAACCGATGATTGCGTACGAAAAATTAGAATCAATCGAACAAAGTTCAAGGATTAAGGTATAACCAACCAATTGGGCCGAGCTGCGACACGTGAAAAGTGAAGGAACGGGCTAGCGAAGTAGAACTCACAGGTTAGTACGGCGGAAGAGATTGTACATACATATATACGTATAATGATAGGGTTGTCAAAGAAACCCTAAGCTATAAGTGGCAGCCGAAAGAAACCCCTAGACCCCACACATTCTTTTCCCTACGTGCAACCCTACGCCGCCACATAGCAACGGAAATAACCAGGAGGAGCAGCCGCCACTCTCCTCCTTTCCGGTGTACTCGACCTCAGCCGTCGAGAGCAGCAGCTCGATCACCGAACCTTCCCTCTCCACCACAAAATGCCACCCGCAATTCTGTTTCTTCTCGCCATCACCGTCTCAGCATCAAGAACAAGCAATCGTTACCGTAGCTTCATGCGGTCAAGGGAAAGACCGATCGAGTGAGTGGGAGAGACGACGCTGCCTGGGATAATCGAGGTGAAGCTGGTACGTCAATGGCGAAGCCAGGAACAACACTTCTACTTGGATGGTTGACTTGATACTGTAGCTTCAAGCTCTTGGTGCGTTCCACGACTCCTTGACTACATCAGATCAATTGTAAGGGGCGATCAGACGAGAAGGGGAAGGTGGTGCTATAATTAGCTGGGTAGGTATCGTGTATATATACATATATATTGGGACTTAATTATATCCCTGCCATTATGCGTTGCATGCTTATTAGCTTACACAAGTTAAATGGCCTCCCATTCTTGAGATGGTACCTACGTCCACGTGGGCAATTGGACATAGAAAGGAGGTGCTAGGAAGCGAGTGCATAATGGAATGGTATGTGCATTACTCGAAGAAAGTTGCGACCAATTCTTGGACGGTGGGTAATTGAAGCTAAACTGCGTCTAAGAAAGGAATTGTAGAAGCTCTAGAGTATGGCAGAAGTTCAACAGTTCGTGACAAGGATCAATGGCTGTAGAGGACTCCAATACGAAGTTTCCAATTTCGTGTATTAGTAGGGCTTGAGACTTGATGCACATTTATTAAAGATGTTTATGATTTTATCTTATGCAAATTTCAAGAAATTGTTGTTTGAATTTCAACGTATTTATTATGGATATTTAGATAAAGTTTCCCGCTAATTTTTCCAGTTTGCTTGGTTTCTTATTTTGGTTAACGGTTTATCAAGGGCATTTTGGTAAAAGTAGTGCTCGGCCGAGTTAGGGTGTTACAAGCTTTTTTAGTAAAAAAAGTGGAAATTCTACCCAAAAAAAAAAAAAAGTGGAAAGGCCAAAATGGGCTCAGCATAGTGGGAATAGCGGGTGTAGGATCAGGTGCTTAAGTCTATACGTTTAAGCATTTTGTTTAAATCATTTTATTGGTTGATAGTGGATTAGTTAGTTAATAAGGGGGTTAGTAGTTAATAGATAGTTGAGAATAAATAAGGATATTATGCAAATATAAATAATATTAATAATTGATTATTCTCTTTCTCTCTCCTCTCATAACTTTCTCCATAACCCTCTCTCTCCACTGACATTAAAAGGAAATTCGAAATTAATTTAATTAGATTTAATATTTAATATTTAATAAAATTCAAACTTAATAATTTTTTCTCTTAGAAATTAAAAATTAAAAATCTTCTCTCTCATTTCGTGACAACTTGCAATGTAGTATTAACGTTTTGCAATGACATTATCAACGTTTATGAAATAAATCATTATTATTATACCTTATCATTATTAACTATTTCAATATAAGTATCAATTCTTTACAATTATATTATTAACAAGTTTGAATCAATCGTTATCGTTGTACATTTTCATCATCAACGTTTATGAATGAATCATTATTCTCAACATCTTTACTAATGATTCACAATATCATTGATTCACAACATTATCATTATTGATACTATTAGTAATGGGCTCTCAAAGACGTCTCACTCGTTTCGACAAACAAACAACAACTGATATCATGATACATCAAACGTCGACAGTGTTCACTATTAACAGTACATGACAAAATTGCAAATATTGTAGGTTAACTGTTAAACATTTTGAAACTATTAGTAATGATATACTTTCACGTTGTTAACGTTTTGATGAAAGTTGCTTAATGTTTTTAACGTAAACGTGACGTTCTCATCCCAAAAATTTCATTGAAAATTATAAATGTTTTAGGTCGATTTTTAATGATTTTAATACTATTAATTATGTTATACTTTAACAACATTTTGGTGGGAGTTGCTTAACGTTTTTAACGTGAAAGTGAAATTGTAAGTTGTAACAACTACGTGATATCATGATACATTAACAAACAACATATGATATCATGATATATTAAACATAGATAATTTAACTATATTTTATTATTAATTCAATAAAAAATTTATAATGCTCGGCGATAATGATTATAACCTTAAATATTTTATTACGTTAATAACAATTTACATTACATCAACAATGATAACATTACATTAGATTGTTAACAATGAGCCTTAACTCATTAACAAACAACAAAAAATGATTTAGGAGATGATGATAATGTTTTTGTATATCGTTGAAAATTCATTGCAAAAAAATTGATAACAGTACCTTGGATTGATTATAATGAACCAATCAAATTTGATGGTGTAATTGTTTGTCATTTTTTCATAAACGTTGATAACAACAATAAAAACAAATAGTACACTTTATCAAGAAGTTTATAAATCTGACGTC